AGAAAGAAAGACCCTGTGTTTGTATAGGTTGAACCCTGCAGAATGATATGACCTTCCAGATGTCTTTAAAACACATCACGAAGCAGACTGCTGCTGCAGTCCATGAATGTGAAATGTACTGTGGCTTGGAGGTGGTTCTGCAAGCTGTCCAGCAGTCAGGACCTTAAATCCTACCAACAGTCTGTCACAGATGGTACAGCAGAGGAGAAAAAAGGGATTCTGAAATGCTGAGAGAAGTAGTAGGCCAAGTAGCTGCTGATCATGATATAGCTGCCTGGATAGCAGCACTGTACATCTAACATATGCTGCAACTCAATATTCTCCAGCAAGTCAGAGGCCTCCACAAATTACTGTTAAATTTGCCAAATGCTCTGTGGTTCATTTTCCACTACTAACATGGGAGACTGCGTTAAGAAGAATATGGCCAGGACACCTCCTTAGAGATGCTGTGATTCACACAATATTGCATCTACTGAGGAGACATGAACATACTGCAGATACATGCTAACATTATGCAATGCAACAGATTCCACCTGCCCCATTTGTGTCAGCTACCTTAACTCATTTCACCCTGATCTCCTGTCTCTCTTGACTAACTGCATCCTCTATGTCTGTCCAGTGCGTTAAAGAAATGAATCAAACACAGGTACACCCTCTTGGAGATGCCTTTTTACAACAGGTAAAGCTGTAGAACAGTCTACAGCCATTTCAGTAGTGTCTTCTGGGCTTAAAATCAAAGTGTATTAATTGCAAGTACAAGTCTTAATTTGCTGCAGTTCATACAGATTTCTTTAAATATAACAATTTCTATTCCTTGTGTCCTTGTCTGCATATCTGGAGAGCTGCCATGCAGAAAAGGACCTGGGGGTGTTGATGGACAGCAGGATGACCATGAGCCAGCAATGTGCCCTTGCGGCCAAGAAGGCCAATGGCATCCTGGGGTGTATCAGAAGGGCTGTGGTTGTAGGTCAGAGAGGTTCTCCTTCCCCTCTACTCTGCCCTGGTGAGACCGCATCTGCAATATTGTGTTCAGTTCTGGGCCCTCAGTTCAAGAAGGACAGGGAATTGCTTGAAAGAGTCCAGCGCAGAGCCACAAAGATGATGGAGGGAGTGGAGCATCTCCCTTACGAGGAGCGGCTGAGGGAGCTGGGTCTCTTTAGCTTGGAGCAGAGGAGACTGAGGGGAGACCTCATTAATGTTTATAAATTTGTAAAGGGCGAGTGTCAGGAGGAAGGAGCCAGGCTCTTCTCAGTGATGTCCAATGACAGGACAAGTGGCAATGGGAGCAAGCTGGAGCATAGGAGGTGCCATGTGGACATGAGGAAAACCTTCTTTACTGTGAGGGTGCCAGAGCACTGAACAGGCTGCCCAGAGAGGTTGTGGAGTCTCCTTCTCTGCAGACATTCAAAACCCGCCTGGACGTGTTCCTGTGTGACCTGGTCTGGGTGATCCTGCTCTGGCAGGGGTTGGACTGGATGATCTTTCGAGGTCCCTTCCAACTCCAACTTCTGTGATTCTATGGTAAGTTTTACACCATCTACTGATGTTAATAGCGTTTCCAAGTCACTCATCTCTGAGTGTGACATCCTTGTGTTTGGCCATTTGTCAGCACATCTACACCACTCAAGGGAGCAGATACCCCCAGGCAGCCCCCCAGAAGGCTAACTAACAAACAAAAGGAGCAGAGCACAGTCGCCATGCCAGGGCAGGTCTGGTGTCTGGGAAGGAGGTTACCCTAAGTGTATGAGCTGCTCTTCCCTCTTGTCTGCAGATTCACATCCTTCCTTTCCTGAACAAGGTACAGCCACTTCTCACAGCACACTGACCTCAGCTGTGAAGTCAAATACTCTAATTCAGCTGAAAATTACACAGTTTCTCATGCTAGTATTTCTGGTGCAATACTGTATCTTTTTTTTTTTTTTTTGTGAAGTCCAGCACTAAACAGACACATGGCAAAGCTTCACTTCACATCAGCTGTCACACTCGCCTCCTCAGTCTCTCAGGATCTACCAGGCACGATGTGGGCACTCCAAACCTGTGCAGGTCGCTCTATGACATTGCTAATGCTGTTCAAGAGCATATATTATTTAATCCTTAACCACGGTCCCTAGTTATTTTCTACGTACACATCGACAATATTTGAGAGATATCTCAGTACCTCCTCCTTCCTTTGATCACATTAACTTTCCATCTAACCTTAAGGCTCTACTATAGAAAGGCAGCAAAGTAAAGGAAAATAATACTAAATCCTAAAGTAACTCTGCTTTGATCTGCCTGGCTTGTGTGTGCTTCCCAAGAATCTTGGCCAATATCTTGGCTTTAAAACTACATTCCAGTAAATCATTATTTTAGGCTTTTATGATACCAGAGACATGTAATAATTCACTGAGCAGAAAAACTTCCCACAGCCATTTAAATATTGAAAATTCTCATGTACCAGATACAGTCCCTTTTGTGCTTTTTCAGCATGTGGTGTATAACCCAGAGAGAGAGATCACAGCTAGAAAAGCCTTACCTCTGATGATCTTTTGGGAGCTATCACTAACTTGGGAGCCTTTATGGGTAAGGTTAGTTAAAACAAATCTAAAGCTATTCTACTTCACATAACTGGCCTATGGCAGCCACTGTAAAAATAGAGTAGAAGTTCAGCCACAGGTCTCTTTGCCAGGCTGGCTTTAAGATTTAATCATTACGTTTCCACAAGAATGAAAGTTTTCATTTAGAAGATAGCTGAAATGCCAAAAAAAGAAGTACTTTATGAGATAGCAATTTGTCCTGAACACATACAATGACCACTTTGGTCCCTTTGCATATTTTCTCATTCAGTTAATGGAAAGACAAGTTATATATAAGGAAATAATAATTTAGGAAATCTGGATTGACAGTTGTTGAAGCTATTTGGTTGCCTAGGAACTCTGTGGGACTGTTCCGTATATCTATTCTGTGGGCTGTGGGTATAACCAGGGTTTGAAATGACTGTAATTTAGCAGCTCTACCCCAACAACATTTTTGTCCCTAGAGGCTACTGTGTCAATCTATCCCTTTCCAGACAGGCGATACTTGGAGCCACTTTGGAATCCTGTATTCCTTTAGACAAATAAGTTGTACTGTTCCATAAACTACAGAAGCATAATATTCAAAGAAATAGATGTGTTTCTATGGCTCTATACAAGTTCCACCTATTTTCATATCATTTCACTACACTGGCATCTTCAAGCAGCTTTCAGTGTCGAGATGGTATCCCTCATTATGAACAGTAATAGGAAGAACGGCACACAAGCCTGCAATGAAGGTTTCCTCCTACTCTGAGTTCCATGTCAAAGGTGCATTTGGCATTTTCCCATTCCCAGCCTTCAGGAATACATCAAACCTAACCACTGGACCAGAAGGACACTGCTTTCAAAGCCCACTGCACTCCATAAAAAAATCCTTGTGTCTTTAAAAGTTACTTCAGATGAGACCCAAAGCAGCACATGGGCTACATGAGCACCCTTAGTGGGGTAGTGGAAAATATCCATAAAATGAACAGCCTGGGTTAATTTGCTATGGCAAAAATAAATAAATAAATAAATACAGTAGTCTGAAGGTCAAATGGAATGAAAACATGTTTTTAATCTTCTTATCTACTTATAAATCACTGATATTTTAGGTATGTGAAAGTCATTTATAGAGATTTTCACATAGCAAGCTGGCATGCCTGTTATATATTGACCTAAATTTACCTTCCATAATTTTGTGAAATCCCGGAATGGTATTTTATGTGTGGAGTTACCAGCATTTGGGCCTGCTATACTGTAAACCATGGCACAGCAAGTTTACAGGAGAATTCAAGTAGTTGAGAGACATCTGTCAACAGTTCTTCAATATTACTGTCATTTTCCTCCAACAGATCCCTACCTACTATAAGACATAGGCAGGTAACCCACTAAAGTCTCTGCTGAACTGAGGAAACAGTTAAGCCTCACTTCTCGCCCCATTTTTGGGATCAACTCCTTCCATTCTTTAGGACGTAATGACTTAGTGTTTTTCCCTCAGCTACAAGCCTAGGTTCTTATTCCAAACTGTCGTGGTTTAGGGCTAGGCCGGCTACCAAATCCTGGACAGACGCTCTCTATTAACCCGTCTCCCCTCCCCAGAAGGGAAGGGAAAAGAGAATAAGGGAGAGAGACTTTACGGGTTGGAAAATAAAACTAACAGATTCAATGAAACAATAATATTAATACTACAGGATAATATTGTAAATAGGAAAATAATGGAATATATACAAACATGTACAAATACACACAAAACCAATATAAAATCCTTCACCCACCCTCCCTCCAATGACAATGACATCACCAGAGGCTCTGTGGAGCCGGGCACTGGAAAAGTCCCAGACCAAACTCAGCAGCAGTGGGAGCTGATGCAGGACACACAAATCAGTATCAGTGGCAGATGAACCAGCAGCTCAGGCCTCAACCTCTGCAGGACCGAGACGGATGAAAGGGTCTGAGATGGAAGGGCTCCAAGATGGAAGGGGGTAGAAAAGGGTCGAGACCCTCGTGATCCCTCGGTTTTTATATCAAGTATGCCGTATGTGGGATGGAAACCCTCGTTGGTCGGTTTTGGGTCTGCTCCCCCCCCCATAGGCACAGACACAGCACCCATGGTGAGACAACTGACCTTGAGCATATCTTCTAGCAGCGCTGCTCGGGAAAAACATGCTGCCAGTTTTCAGCAAGTTCAGCCACTTAAAAGAGGCTGAGCTGAAAAGTAAAATCGCTAAATAGAGAAAATTAGTTCTATTTAGCTCAAACCAGGACACATACACATGGCCAGAAAGGCGCCTGTTCAGGGAAGAATATGAAATGTGCCTGTAGTCTGCCTGACCTACTCCAAACAGCATGTCAAGCTCGGTGAGCCACCAGTTCTTCCTTCACACGCCTCTTTCTTTTGCATCAACCTATTTTCTTAACTAGCACAGAGTATGCAATCTGGAGAAAGCAAAGACCAAAACTTACCATCTGATTCGGAGGCTGCTCTGAAAATCAAGTAGCTGCTGGGAAGAGGCTGAGTGATCGAACCAACATTTTCTCCCTTTGGGCCCTGGAAATGCACACAGACAAAAAGACGTAAGGCACAGAAGATGCAATGGACCGTTCAGTGTCTTTCTACTCTCCCTGGGCAGAGTGTGTATGTTTGTGATAGGAAAGAAGGAAGCAGCAGATGGAGTAATTTAGAGAGATTTATTAGTAACAACGATAATGCTACTGCAGCTCCAAAGCAGTAATGAGCTCTGACGTAAATGGGGCTTGATCTAACCTATGCTCAGCCCAAAATCTACTGTTTATTCAGATCCTCAGGCATGGAAGAATCTCATTCCTGTTTCTTGGGACAAAACCAGTCAAATATTTACTATGAGTCATCTTTGTGCAACACCCGAATGGACTGTTCCATGCAGTGCACGTCAACTCTGTCTGCAGCCTGACACATTGGCAGTGAACACCCTTTATGTGTCACCATAAAAGTGGCAGAGCTCACATCTTGTGCTGTGAGTTCTTTTAGCAGAGAGGCAATGGCAGCTTTTCTGGAAAGAAACAAAGGGGAAACTCCATCCTCTGAACCTACCTGTGGGAAAGGAAGAGACAGGGAAAACCACAGGCTGAGGACCAAAAGTCTCCCAGCATGGACACGTGCTGCTGAGTTGCAGCCCTTCACCTCTACATCCAGACCCTTTGAGAACCTTCATGCCTTACTGCCTGGGATGATGGCCACTTCAGGCTTTAACAAAAACAGGCTTTGCTTGTTTATGTTCCCTTTAGTTTAGGAGCTATGGCAGAAAAGACTTATCTTGTAAACATCCTGCCACCATCCCTTCAGCATGACATTACAGAAATGATTCTGAGGGAGGCAGAGTCTGTCCTGGATTAAGCACTTCTTTGAGCAGAACCACAGGCACCTAGTTTGATCTTCTTTTTGCCTCCTCTCTTGAGCACCAGAAGCTGCTAAGAAAAAGCTGTTTCCTGTACTTGATGAGCACAGCTTTATACTCTCCATGGTATGGACTTTATGGTTGAAATAAATAGGAGTTCCTCCTCCTTGCTTGCATTTCCAAAGTGACCCAGCCTCTTCCAGTTCCTTTTCTTCCTCACTTTGTAACAAACAACATGAAACAGATCCTTTTTCAAATATGCAGACATCATGTCAGAAATAAATGCAGAGCAGAAAACACCACCAATGTTGAATGACCACTATGCCAACTGCAAGGTGGAACAAGTTGTTTTCTCCAGGATGCTCAAATACAGATTTCCTTGAGTTTCTAGAGAATACCACACAATGCTGAAAATCTCTAGACAAATTTTTGCAGTTTGAATATGACCCTCCTCCTTTACATGGGCCTTTATAGTATCCCATCCTGCTTCTTGAAAGAAGGACTTCTCCCTAGCATTAGTTTGTAAGCAGGGAAACTGTGAGTGCTACTGAGAACTGCTCCTGTATACAAGTGTCTGGTAGTTAAATGGTGGTTTTATCACGATTTTTGTTTTTGAGTTCCACCCAGGAATCCAAAATTTAGAAAGAAAGAAGAGTGCAAGCATAGGACAGCCATCAAATTGTATCTGAGTCTATGACACGGAGATGCAGTGGTGAGAAGACAACAGTCTCCAGTCTAGCTCCTTGTCTTCATATCTGGGGGGGTCTTCTGCTGCCAGGAGAAACTGGTAACCTTGTTACTCACTTCTTTTTCCCGTCCCCTCTTCCACAAAAAAAGGTTCACAAAATTAAGACTGTTCAAAGGCTTAATAGTCAGGACTGGCAAAGTTGAGATTTGATTAGTAAACTAGAGCAGAGCAGCTTAAGATATTACTAGTGACATTAATGCAATCAGGCATCATTCCCAATGGCACTTTTCATTTCAATAGCTTGCAGCTGAGCGGGGTGCTCAGGAACTGTTGATAACACCATTACTTGTGCTTTCAGTGCAGAGGTTGATATTTGCTCTGCTGGAGGAAAAACCCCACAACCAAACAGTACAGATCCAGAGAACTGTTATTTTAAAAAACGGGGAGAAGGGAAGGAGGACACAAGGGGCAGCCAGGTCACTCTGTCAAGGAAATGTATTCAACAGTAAGGCATATGCATACATGGAGGGACCTGTTTCCCACAGAAAGAAGATGAGAAAAAGAAAAGAGGAGGCCATAAAAATAAAGTCAACACCTCCACAGAGTAAATGAGGTTCTGTATCTGCATGGCAGAGATAATGATGCTTTCTGCCTCCCAGCCTTGGAGCATCATGCCTGTTTGGAGTTTAAGACCTTCAAGACAGTGACCGTCTTTCATTAAAATGAGTGTTGTTCCTGCTACACTGGGACCTGGAGCTCAGCTGCAACCTCTAGACTGTACAACCAATAAAGGATCGGCTTTTGAACACTGCTGTTTACTCTTGATTTGAGAACCAGAATCACAGAATCACAGAATCACAGAATCGCTCGGTTGGAAAAGCCCTCTGAGATCATCATGTCCAACTGTTCCTGTCTACCCCCTAAATCATATCCCTAAGTACCTCGTCTACCCGCTCTTTAAATACATCCAGGGATGGTGACTCCACCACCTCCCTGGGCAGCCTGTTCCAGCTTCTGACGACCCTCTCAGTAAAGAACTTCCTCCTCATCTCTAACCTGAACCTCCCTTGGCACAGCTTGGTGCCATTTCCCCTTGTTCTATCAACCAGAAGGCATTATCAAACAGGGGTTGGTTAGGCTTCAACAAATGGAGTGGACTCACACTGTTTCAAACAGTATAACAAGACATCTAGTCTTGGAGAGTCATAAAACAAAGCTTTAAAAATGGGAAAAAATCCCTTCCATTAACAGTACTGTGGATAACTGTAAGGGTGAAGATGAATCTAACTGTGCTATATTATGGAGTAGAACAAACAACTGTAAAAGCAACAGCACAAGCCCATTACTAGAACTTTTTTCTTTAAAGGAATGACTCAAAATTCTTAAAATGAACAAAATTCAAATTGTACGTATTCCCAGATTCAGTGGGTCTGACCTCAACTCATTTAACACTCTAAATATATGTCAGAACAAGCTGCAGTCAATAAAAGCCTTCCCACAACACGCTGTTCAGCTAGCTTCTGAGCAAGCTCAAAGGGAAATAAAAACCGTTCCAGGACATTTTTTGGGGACAGACGGGCAAACCCTGCCAGCTGATAGCCCAACACTCCCTCTGTGAAGCAAGAGGACAGACCCTCACACTAATTACTAGGTTGGCATTCCCCAGTTTTCTGCAGTCATGCACACAAAAAGTCTCTTCCCTGAAGCAGTGTGGGATCATGCTGTCCTCACACAATGGACAAAGTGTCCCTGCAGCAGCATTCAGAGTGCGTGAGGGAAGCTTGTCTTACTTGTGCTGCTGACTGATTTTGAGACCTTAGCAGTTTTGGCCTTGGGTGTACAAAGGCCTGTGCAGAGCAAATAGGTAAAAGGTCTAAAACACTTGCACTGTGAAGGAGTTTCAGGCTAAAACTCTTGAAAAGCCAGGAAAGCAGTGGAGAAAAAAGGACTCTCTCTCCTCAGCAATGTGTTTCTAAGATTGCCCTAGACACCATAGAGCTTTACAGGAAAAATAGTTCCCTGGTGTGTATAATTAGCTTTCAACTATAAGTAACATCTTACATCTTACCTACCTACTATTTGAAAGGCACCCCAAAATTTCATCCTGCTCTAACTGAAGTGCCTGCACATCAAATTTAATTGGCCAGCACAAATACAAATTCCTAGGGCAGTGATTGACCCAGAGATCTGTTCCAGGGCCAACCCCACAGTTAGATCCAAACATCTGCCGAGCAGCCAGGCCAACATGTACCAAGGTGCTCATTAATGACTCTGAGTTAGCTGCAAGTCCACTGATGTGAGTCAAAGCTGGACCATCAGCTCTAGTCTGGAAAATCCTTGAAAATTTCACAGGCCATTTTAGCCCAAAGTGAAAGTTGTGTAGTTAGATCTCATTTCTGGTGTGATGGACAGTAACTTGGGCTTTTTGCTTAAGCTTGGGCTAATTTATATTTCATGAGAAACAGGCTTTCTTTGCACTGTTATACATAACCAATTTCGATTAGTCAATTCTGCTCCCATTGCTTTAAAAGGAGGCCATGAAATGACATAAAATAAAATAGTATTCTTAGCAGTTTCAGCCTTAAACTGTTGTCAGAGTGCAGACAGCTTCTTGGACATCAAGCAGTTCACTGGCGGATTTCTTCTTGATGTGTATTTTGGTGTTCACCTTGTGGCTGAAAGCATCTATCACACATAACAAGCCAGGCTGAACTTAAGTTTCAGGAAATATCCTACTATGCATCTCAAACATAGCTTTCTAAATATCTGTTTCAAGTGACTTGAATATTACTTTGACTTTAAAATCCAAATCTCTGGGACTTCCTCTAGTGCACAAACATTTTCAGAGAAATATTGCCTTCATATTTAATATACTAATTCCTATTTCTGTCACATATTTTATCAGGAGACACAAGAGTTAGATATACATACATAAACACATTTATAAATACTCCTCTTTCTTCTGGACTATTCATATCAAGGGAAGGGCATTTTAGCATAATGCTTTGGAGCTGTCAGTGACACGACTTTTCAGTACCTGACTGCACTTTTAATTCTACTATTTCACTACCTCTCCTGGCTGCGCTTTTCAGAAGAATTCAGCTGACTTGTCAAGCCACAAGGAATTTTTTTGTTGATGGGCAGCAAACAATCAGCAACATTCTTGGGTGCATGCTCTGAACTACAAAAGCATCAAAACTCTCAAAACTGAATAAGAAGCACAGTAGCAATGAAACCTTGGGACTTAAAGCAAAAACAATGCATCTAGGCACAGATCAGAGCTGAGCTACTGTCAGAAATCAGCAGCTCTTACCCTTGGTTGCTGAGGTTGATTTTAATTCTGTCCTCCTACGTTATTAAAAATGGCAAGACTTTTTATAGTGATTGTATAGCTGTGTTTAAAACTGTTCAATTAACTGCAGGGATGAGCAAGAGTGAGCCTGCTTGATCTGCTCCCACAGAGCTTCCCCTTTATTTTGTTAGATCTTCTGAAGCCAGTGACAAATGCCTTCATCGCTCTCACAGGAGTCTTTCCAAGTAGATTTACTCTGCTGACCACTTTGCAGCAAGGCACCAGCTTGTCATGCCTTGCTAACATTGGTGATGTCTCCTAGAGAACTCATATCTGAAATAAATCTGCTGAGTCACTGGTTTTAATGGGGAAATAAGAGTTCAAGAACATTTAAGTTTTGTTTTCAGGGTATCCAACAGCTACTGCTCTCAGTGCCTCTCAGGAGGTACTAGGGTCTTCCTCTTTGCTCATAGGCATTAGACATCTTTCTCTTTTTGCCAATTCCTAAAGGAAGGCAGAAAAAGAAATGCAGCTTTCTAAAATTTGCAGGGAGTTACTTTAAGAAGTGTGAGAAACTATTAAACGTTTGCGTTACAGTGAGACCCAGAGGTCACTGCAGGAAGTACAGGAAGAGACTGCCTGTGAATAACAACAGACTGGAGAACAACTCAGAGCAAAGGGGAGAAAACTTTCTTATTTCCACTTCAAAGAGGAGAAAATTAAGGCCACCTAACCAGAGTCACACTTTTGTGGACAGTCAAGACTTGAACAGACCAATGAGTTCCAAGTGTATCACAAACAAACACAAACCTCAGAGGAATCAGAAAAAAAAAAAAGAAATAAAATCATTAATCTGCTTTGTGTCAGTTTGCCAGCCCTCTTCCAGTGTTGTGGAAACCATTTGGTGCTTTGAGTGTCCTTATTTGTCATTAATCTGCTTTGTGTCAGTTTGCCAGTCCTCTTCCAGTGTTGTAGAAACCATTTGGTGCTTTGAGTGTCCTTATTTTGGGGAAGGCAGTTATTTCGGTCTATTCCTCACCTCTTTTTAAAGATGTAGGTCGTTACTTGATATAGCTTCTAGGCATTGATCTTTTTTCCTGCCTATTCATGCATCTATACACCAAGAATGACACATTTGTATAACTAATACAATGCACCACATTCCTTTGACGTCATATCATGACCAAGCTTCGGCGTCTTTAATCTTTTTATGCAGTCAACTCACCATCACTAACAGCATCTGAATAACTGCAAATCTAGATAATATGAGTGCTAGAAAATACTAGTGCTCAGATGTTTTGGTGACAAAGAAGAGGTTGTTTGACTCATCAGGATTGTTACCTTCACAGCCCAGATTGATTGATCCAAAGGATGAAAAAGTTTAAAACAGAAGCCATCCTTTTTGGAGGGTCTCTCGATCAGCTCACAAGAATGGAGCAAGATTGTTCCAACCCACTGTCCAATCTTTGGCGTCTTATAAATGAGGAGCACTCCTGGTTTCAGAACACACCACAGCTTGGTCCAGCTCTTCAGAGTCCCACGAATCTGGAGGGAAGCAGGAGAGGACAAAAAGCTGCATCAATGTTGTTCCTTAAAAGAAAACCAGCATTTATTCAGTATTTAAACAGTATTTCCAGTACATGTTTCTCCCAAGACCACACTACAATACACTTCCTTAGGAGAATAAACTGCATTATCTGAACAGTCTTAGGGATCTCAGAGAAAAATCCCAGCCCTTGTAAATCTGACTATCAGAATGTGATCTTCGTATTTTTATTACTGGTTTAGTGCTCACAGCTTGCTCAATTTTTTAGGCAACCAGCACTGCTGGCCCATGTTAGAGTGATTTGTTAATAATCATTGTGGACACATCAATTAGAACATTGCATACAAAAACGTTATAGCTAGTCTAACTTGACTTATAAGTCATTTTAATAGAGTTCTGCAAAACAGAGCTATTAATGGATTTTGTCAAATACTCCATTTTAAAAGCACCTTCTCCAGCTGGTTTACTTCTCTGTCAAGCTCAATGCATGCTCTCTCTTACACAGAAGACATTAAATCTGATAGCATGTATTAAAGATAACAGCTTTAAGAATGGGGAAGTGTCTCAGTAAGGTTAGATTTTGCCTAAGGTTCTTCATGTCTTCAAAGTACACAGGCCAAACCTCCAGTCTTATGTCAGTACTCTGTTTTTGTGGCCCAGCATTATTTGTTGCTGAACCAGAAATTCTCGGCCACAGCAAACATGCAACAAGTATTTTGTATTTTAAAAAATCTCAATATTCATCTATCATCAACACTTAACATTATGGAAACATTTTGTTGCAAATCTAATTTCTCAAATAAACCATAAGCCATCTATGGATTGAGTTATGTTAAGATGGAAAGCAAATATTCCCTAGAACTCCACTTTTACAGCAGTCATTTAAGTACAGCTTTACAGCGAACTCAACTCAAAATTACTCGGTCTTCCTTCACTCAAAAAAGTGCTATTGCATAAATCTCAGACACATCAACTACTTCTCACTTAATTTTCCTACAGCCTCGGGAGCAATGGTGTGTACTAAATACCTTCAGCCAGTCTGCTGTGATCACTACACTGGGATCCTTTAGAGCACTGAAGAGTTGTTTGGTAGCTCTTTTCTTCTCCTGTCTGTAATTTTTTTTTTGTACCTGTGTGAGAACAGAGAAAATATAGCAGCTATGATCATGGCCTCTTTTGGGGAGGAAGGAACATAATGCATTAAGGACAGCTATGTATAGCACAGCTAGAACTTGACCCAGCACAGCTTCCCCAGAAATGAGCACAAGGAAGAACAAAAACATAATAAGATAGCAGGTGTTTTCTTTGCTCCTGAAGTTCACCTAAACATAATCTAATTTGGCTTTTCTTTGGGGGGAATGAAAACAGGCTGAACAGCCAGCCCTCCTCACTCCCCAAATTAAAAAGATTAAATCTAATTTCAATCAATCCAAATGATTGATACTTTGGGTTTGGTAGACAAGCAAGAGTACAAGCAATAATTGGCTCAGATTGCCTAGGCATACAGCTTCTAACAAGACCTATGAAGGACTGCAATCCTCTTAAGGTGCCTAATGGCTCTGGAACATAGAAACTGAGTGAAATAATTACACTTACTTGTTTTGTTCGCAGTATATAATCTAATCTTTTATATAAAGCCTGTAAATGCCCTTGGCCTGTAATGACTCCAAGAAGAGTTGGAGGCTTCTCTGGGTCTTGGGAAATGACTCAGAGTAGTTACAAATTATTTGTTTGGAAGGTACTACTTGTTTTGTAAAAGAAAGTCAGCCGATGCTGACGTGGCTGATTTGCACATACCTTCAGTGTTTCCTTCTTCGTGAATTTGGCTGTGGGAGACACACACTCTTTGTCAGACCCATTGCAAAGCTTATATTCGATCTAAAAAAAGAAGTGAGAAGAAACAGGAATGTGTTAACATGAAGATGTTCAAGTTATGCTCTAATGAAGAGTCATTTATATCTTCCAGGAATCTATGAAAGAGCTGATTGCAGACTTCAGCAGCAGAACACTAGGCAGGGGCAGAAAATGCGTATTTGCAGTGCAGTCCAAATTTTCTTCTTATATTCACAGTAAGTTGGAAAATTCCTCATCAATTTTTCTTTGTATTTCTCCCATGCAGACATTAATCTTGGTAAAATAAAACAAAACAAAACAAAAACCCTATTCTTGTTCCTAACTTTGAAAACTGCCCATCTCTCTTCCCATCTGAAAGCATTTCAATTACCGGAAAAAAAATTACAGGGAAGCTGGTATAGATCTTTCAGAACAAGATTTGATATTGGCAATGACTGTTGCCCTAGCTGAAATGTCCAGAAACATGAGTGGGCAAGACATGACCTAATCATGTTACAGATAATAGAGGAAATGATTATCATCTTGGCCTGCGAAGCAAGGCACAAAATACACAGTCACTTCAAATCATGTCTGATAGTGTCAGTGCTGTTTAAATTCATTTTCAGAGGCTGCAGACTGAGCTCATAATTGTGCTGATGGGCTCAAAAAATGCTTTACTTCTGTTAGACATGGTCACAATATTACTGTTCCCAAAATAACGTACGCTTAGAGAGTATAGCCTCTCGAGCCCAACTCACAACAAGGACCCCTATTTGGATAGGTGCTGTCAACAAATTGTCCAAAACCTGGGGATGGTTACTGGCGTGAGAATTATGGCACAGTCTGGACTCTGCTACTTTTTAAGTCACCTGGGGGAAGTTACTTTCTCTCTCTGTACTTCTTTTCCTTCCAACTTTTCATGTGTCTGATGCTTTCAGACTGTGATCTTTTGGGGTCAGGCACTGTCTCTCCTACTTATGCATGACAGTTTTATAAAGAAGCTCAGCCCTTGCCCACCTTGATTTAACGAGTATGACCAAAAAATGAGCCGTACTAAGGAAAAACTATCAAATATAGTCCCCATTTATAAATTCACTACTATGATATGAAACAAACCCACTAGGCTCCTCAGATTCTCTTTCCTTTGTGTCACAAATTGATGTAATCATTTTACAGTGTCTTCAGTTTTGAGAGACCCACTTTCTTTTTCCCTCCCAGTGACACAGAAACCTCTCTGCTATAGCCACAAACCATGCTGAACATTAGTGTGAGCAGGAAAATATTTAATGACAGCCAGATCGGTCCTTTTCACATAATTTAGATAAAAACACTCAAATGTATGACCAGGTTACAACAAACAGGCCGTCAACTATGCTTTGGAGACCGTGGCAGGAGCAAAAATGGGAGATAAGGACACATGCTCCACTGAGCAAAACTCTTCATGCACTATGCAGGGTTAGAAATTAGGGGCAGAAGGTGCGATTTGCAACAGAGCTGGGGTCACTGTAGAACCTATTACTTGTTCTCACATACCCTTATAGTTGTCTTCAACTAAAATCAAAACTACATGTGATATTTAAGAATAAATAGAGAAATGAAAACTCTATGATGGCACATAGTCCCTGGTCTGACTGTCCAGTTTACAAGTCAACTTGACATTGGAGCCACCCAAACAAAATGCCAGCTCTTAGACTTCTGCAAACTATTCAATATTTGTCATTCATTTTTAATAGAAAAGTAACTTGCCTCCTCTACAATGCAGTCTCTGATGCATATTTTGTATTTCTGCGGATGGGACTTCACAGTAAAAACACAAGATTTACGATGGGGACCGCTGCACAGATATGACATCTGAGCAGAGAACTGTGCCCACAGGGTCTTTGGCACATTTCAAAGGGCAGTAGTAGACATTTGGGAGATACGCTATAAGCTTTTCTTTATGAGGAAACCTTTCAACGTGCTTAAATGTCTCTGAGCAATTCTGTCTTTGGAATTATTAAGAGATTCTGCTTTTATGATTGGAGACGTGTGGCCTCTGAAACTGGTCCGAAGAATTCTCCCCTTTCTCCCAGTTAGCAAGGAGAATGTCCTATCCTTGAGATACCACTATGAGCCAACTGTGTATTGGTGATTTCACTCCCTCCAGCCCAAGAGATCAGACGCAGAGGGAAACACTGCGTACGGTCCCTCATTGGTCATCGAGAGAAGCAGAAAAAGCACAGATGTCCCCAAGATTCTAGGAACCCCTGCTCAGGTGTCTGCAAACCATCAGGATATAATGAACACTTTTTGCTTAACTAATTAAAAGAAGCTACAGTCACTTATTGTCTAGAAAATTACATCTTAGCACTTGTATAAAGAAGAAAATTTTGGCCCCTAAGCTCACTTGGCTCAAGGAAATTTACTTGAAGATTAACTCAGGAAGACTTTCAATAACCACCACAAACCATGCACACCCGAGCCCTAAACCCACTGCTTGTGGGGAACCGGCATTAACCCAGAGGCCCTTTCACTGCTCTACTAGCCACACTAGCCTCCTCCTGAGTGTCTCTGGGCCATGCTAAAAACAGAGTTAAGCAGCCAAAAGACTTCAAACCTGGGACACTTACACAGAGCGACATTGAGGAGAGCTGACTTGTAGCTCCATGACCAAGGACACCACACACCTGACGCCAGCCAATACTGCTATGCATGTTACAAAGCCGTGGCACACAACAGCGGATGAAGGGATAATCTCCCCTTATACCACCATAGCCTTTAGGAACTCAGTAAATGCAGTGAAACTTGTCTGAAATCATTACAAACCAGTTTTTCACTTGGTCAAAGCAACTGGATTAACAGCCTTGGAGGCTGCTGCAGTGGGCTCCTGAACTGCTGTGCTGCTTCCTTCAGGCACCACCTCCCCCATGCCTGAGCTATGTCCAGACATGCTGAATTTGCTGACCTTGCCTGTAAAGGGAAACACAACCAAAGGGATGGTGCACACTAAGACAGGTTTAAAAATGAATGAGAAAGAAGCAGTAGTGTAACTCCCTCTCTGCCTACATAAGAATTTCTAGGCATGAGAAAATAAACACCTGTGCTGCTGTGTCCCAAAACCTGCGATGCACCAGCTGAGTGATGAATAGCGCAGCTCCCAGTGATGGTTGTAAAATGATCCAGCTTTTTGAAGACAGAGAAAATGTTACTAAAACCAAGCCAAGGTTTTAACTAGGAGCCATGGACAAACTTTCAGATGTGCCTGACCTGGGACTTCAGTTTTTGGAAACCTGATGATGTTCCCCTGTTACTGCAAGCCAAGGTTTTAACTAGGAGTCATGGACAAACTTTCAGATGTGCCTGATCTGGGACTTCAGATTTTGGAAACCTGATGATGTTCCCCTGTTACTCTTTTAACAAGGCGAACTGTTTGCTTCTCTCTGCCAACTTTGCTTCTTGTTATGCTTATGAGGATGCATCACCACAGATCCTAAATAGTAGTTTGCTTGCAGGTGATCTCCAGGTCTACCGAGTGAAAAGAATTGCATGTCTAGGTGTACAGTTCCTGCCTTTTCACAGGAAAGGTGGGATCTAAGGCCCCAGGACTGCACACCATAGGCCCTCATGCTGCTGATAGCAATGTACAATTACTCCAAGTCTAACCTGCTTGATAAAATGTGATTTCATGCTTTTACATGAATCTGTCTCAATACTTCTGATTGCATGCTGTGACATCATAAGATTCAGTAAATCTGGGCCACCATGTCTAAAGATCCCTAAGACACAGCAGGGCCTTACGTCACTGAGACATGTCAAGAGCATTGAATGACGTCCTTCTATTGCTCTGCCTTTCTCAGCCAAAATTGAGAGAACTGAGAGGACAAAATTAAGAGAATCAAATTTTCATCACAACAAATCTTTCAAGGACACTGGGATAACGCTTGTGCAGGATATTGGATTTTGACCTCTCTCTGCAGCAACACATGAACAACATTAACCAGAGACGAGACTTTGTACCGTGAGGGGTAGGGAATTGGTGTCCTTTTTAAAATTAAAAAAAAAACTAGCTGAAATATTCTAATAAGAAAGCAGTATGTATGTTTTCCATATAATGGTTCTCATAATTATAAGGGGGGGAAGACTGTTAATCACCTGAAAACTTTTACCAGGGAATGCAGCAGCACTTGCAGGGGTAGGAAACTGTTATTCCTTCTTAGCTCTCTCACCAGATCTGCCCTTTCCAGGACTGAATGATGACCTTGCTGGCTGCTGACCGGCCGTGCTGTACTCAGAGATGTACTTTTTATCCCTGTTAAGTTTCTGCTCCCTTTCATCTCAGTCATGTAGCTCTGGAGAACCACTGCTGATTGTTAGCAGTGATCACAATACCCTTACACTCCTGCTAGGCTTTGTGAGGGAGCACACGGAGTCCAAACAATAGTGCTATTCTGATCTAGTGTCTTTTTGGTGACTTCATTTCCAAGAGGAACCAAATAATTTCACAGAAAAACAGTCCATGATCGGCTCTGGTGTGGGGGATGTCAGACCATCAGCATGCTGTGCCTTGGGTAGCAGCAAGAAGAATACCTTGTTGTTTGGTGCAAGCAATCCCTGTCACAAACATCGAAATAAGTCATTCTCAAGCTGTGGTCTGCATGTTCACAGCAGTGACAGCTTACAAGTCCCTCTTTTTACTTGTTTTGCATCCAAGTAAGAGAAAGACAAGCTCAGATGGGAATTTGAAAGCAGAACTAAAGTAAAAAAAGACAAAAAGCAAAAACGTTCATCACATGGGAGACACATCCTTGCTCACGTGTAATTTCTCCATATCTTTTCCACATATAATTGCTACAGATCCGTATCACTGCAGAAATAAAAGAAATTAAACAAAAGCTCCTGAAGCAGTATTAACAATATGGAAAAGGTGGGTTTAACATTAGAAGTGAAGAGCTGCTTATTACTGATGATGAATATTCACGGATATCTCAACTGCATTTAAACCATTTTGTTTTCAATTTACTATAAGCAGTTCTTTTTTTGAACTTTTTTAATGTTATTGTGTACTAACAGCTCATCCAAAGCACAGTGGTCAGTGAAAAGATGCTGACTGACAAACAAGTGTTACACCAGGAAAAATTACCCTTCAGTTAACATGCTACTTTACAGCAAGTCAAATAATTTTCACCTCAAACTTTCTAGTTAAAAAAAAATCCCACTTATCTCAACAATGTTACAAAGAAAAAGCAATTGTGTTTACTACACTGAAATAGCACAGTGATTAGCACAAATTGAAAGCCATATCTGGGGAAAATCATCGCTGAAATTCAGCTATCCAAGCAACTCCAAAGAGCAGGCTATTTTAGTGTTTAGCAGCATGCTTTGCCCGATTGTGTCAGATCATCGTAATTAGCGGAAAAGTCACAGACCTCACGGGATTGCTATGGGATCATTTAAGTGTGCTCTTCGCGGGAACAACGCTATCAAAGTTTAGAATATTTAAAGAACACTTCAGGTGAAATGGGAAGTTGCACACTGAGAAAGATGCTGTTTCACATGGCAGATACAGTTGCAGTGCTAAGCAGAAACCTGAAGCAAAGCTTTGCTTTCCCATCCAGGTACAGCTTTCGTTTCCAGGCTGAGTTTAAACAAACCAAGAAAGTGAGCAATGAAAAACAACCAGACCTTCATCTTAAAATATGCTTTTCTAAATTGTTTAATAAATAATTTCAATTTCAGGACCTTCATTTACACTCAACTCCCTCATCAGAAACACTAAAGAATGTTGTGGATTACCCAAAGTTACCAGCTTTAAGACTTCATTTTGCAAGCAAACAGCTACTACTGCCTACATTCCCCTCTGCAAGGCATCTGGGAGTTTCAGGGTTTGTATGCACCTACCTAAGTTAGAGATGCTCCATGTTTCCTATCTCTCAGTGCAAAATCCCACCCCTCTTCTATGTGATTTTTCCAAGGATACTCCAGGCTACATCTCTGCTCAATTGAAATCAGCTGCAAAACCCTCTGTGGACAACAGTGATTACCCAGAAATGTTGCATGTAGTATTGAAGTAATGTGCCCTTAAAGAAGGGCACAGGAACTGAGTGTAAGTCTTGACAGAGACATAACTGCATCAACAGCATAAAGTATGGTAAAGCTGTGCTTAGAATGTACAGGGGACGTTTCACTCCTGAGCCTCTCTGAGCTGACTCCTGCAACATCTGGATCTTTCTGACAACCAATTTCTCAGTTTGCTGGCTAAGAAAGAGCAGAGGGAAAGGTACCCTCGTAGGTTGCCAGAGACGTGAATTGACCTAGACAGGCTGGAGAGTTGAGCAGGGGAAAATTTAAGGAAATTCACAACAAGGGCAATTGAAGGGTCTTGCATCTGGGGAAGAACAACCCCATGTACCAGGACAGGTTGGAGACAGACCTGCTGGGGAGTAGCACAGCAGAAAAAGACCTGGGGGTGTTGGTGGACAGCAGGATGACCATGAGCCAGCAATGTGCCCTTGTGGCCAAGAAGGCCAATGGCATCCTGGGGTGTATCAGAAGGGCTGTGGTCAGTAGGTCAGAGAGGTTCTCCTCCCCCTCTACTCTGCCCTGGTGAGACCACATCTGCAATATTGTGTTCAGTTCTGGGCCCTCAGTTCAAGGAGGACAGGGAATTGCTTGAAAGAGTCCAGCGCAGAGCCACAAAGATGATGAAGGGAGTGGAGCATCTCCCTTATGAGGAGCGGCTGAGGGAGCTGGGTCTCTTTAGCTTGGAGCAGAGGAGACTGAGGGGAGACCTCATTCATGGTTATCAATTTGTAAAGGGCGAGTGTCAGGAGGAAGGAGCCAGGCTCTTCTCAGTGACAGCCAATGACAGGACAGGGGGCAATGGGAGCAAGCTGGAGGGTGACAGAGCACTGGACCAGGGTGTCCAGAGAGGTTGTGGAGTCTCCTTCTCTGCAGACATTCAAAACCCGCCTGGACGTGTTCCTGTGTGACCTGGTCTGGGTGATCCTGCTCTGGATCCTGCTCCATCTATGAGCTCAAGCACAGAGTAGTGTGGTTACAATTAAATGGCTTCACAGCTCACAAGTTCACAGATGTTTACAGGGTTTTCATTGGATATTCTGCTCGGTGTCTGCAGACCTGGGAAACCTGCAGCTTTCCCCATCATGCAGTGTGGATATGGCCCATGTGAACAAAATGCAGAACTGTTTACACCTCACTGATGAAAATGTGAAGCAGAAATGCAATTAATATGCCTGGGGAAATGCAGAGACTTTAAGTCAGAGCCGGGAAGTCAAGGTCCCCTAAGCCCCATTCCAAGGACCGATTCACTCGACTGGTTTTCCTTTCCTCCTCATTACTGGGTGAAAAGAGTCAATGTGGTGTGGTACCTCAAAATAGCACTGCTGAAGGAACACTGATTTCCAACAAGATTTGTTATATCCACTGTGCCAAAAGAAGGGTAAGTATTCATGGCATGGATCTGTTACCTAGAACATTTACTTCTGAAGTCATTAATTAAACCTGCACGCCTCATATTTTGGTTTCTAAAAATTATTTCCCCCTGCCACCAGGAATCTAAACATGACCCAATTAGCACTCACTCCTTCCCTTGGTTCACATAGATGGAATCGCTATTTATTTTTAAACTGAAATACTGTGACATATCCCTACTTACAGTTCTGGACACCTGACAGCAAAGTTTCATTTGACAGCCTTAGAGATCAGTGGATGTGAAAATTTAAATATTAAGCAAACTGACTACTAGTTTGTCTACATCTTAAAAGTACAATATATTTCACCATAGAGACTCTGTACTGTCACTGACACTGAAGCAAGACAGAAGCAAAGTTATATGGCTGGAGAAGAACAGGGTAGTGTACAACACAGCAAGGTGAAGCAGTGAAGGGAGAATGACAGGCGCTGCAACACAGGTCCAGTGGGGCAGAGTCTCTGAATCCAACATCACGGGTCTAAGCAGAACTTTCAGGCAGGACAGCAGAACCTAGCTCTAGCCTGTTCAGTAGCCAAAGCAATTGCCTGCAACGCTGCAAGCCAGTAGGCAAGTTGAAGTTTGGGGTTTTGAGGTCCTCATACCTGGTTTTGGTCCACTGGTGTTTCAGAACAATTTTGACTACTGTAAAACTGAAGTCTTGGGTTGGTTAAAGCAAAGCTCATGTCCAGGTTCAGACCGCCATTTGATTTGAATCACAAATTTGTTTTGTGCTGTGCATTTTCTCTTATCTTTCCTTAACTACTGCTCCTGATGCTGTCAAGGAGAGACCCAGCAATGCCTCCCAGGTGCACAAAAAGCACGGCAGAAATCTAGCTGGGCAACCACATCTTCCAAGGATGCCTCTCCCTTCAAAAACACACCTGGAGGAGACTAAATAGCAAGGCAGGCCCTGCGGTTGGGAAAACACAGCTGAGCCAGGCTCTCACCCAGATACCTCTGTCAAATACATTCCTACTCTTGCATCCATCCTGCATCTCAGAAAACAAACTCCTTTTCAGACAGCATTTCAGTGCTCTGAGCTGTCCTGTCTAGGAAAAGTCCTTCTTCTTTACATTCCTGAGTCACTGGAAATTTAAAATTCCTCATAAGGTGTGCAAAACATCTGGCTTTAAAACAAAGCCCTGGACACAGTTACCTGGCCCTTGGGCTTCACCACTGACAGGGTAAGAGGGAGGTTGGGTTCTCATGAGGAACCTGCCTGAAAAAGCAAAACCAAGGTTGATTTGCAGCTTGCCAGGTTCCAACAACAGCAGAGGACACCTACACAAGCCCTTGTTGCTTACTTCTAACACTCCTCTCACCACGACCTCCCTGTGCTGACCTCTGCCAGGGCATCCTGGCAGAACAACCTGCAAGCTCCAGGCAAGTGTGGCCAGATGTACTTGGAGATGCAGAACCTATTTTCATGTATTATAAGAAATCACTTGTCTGCAGCTGCTTTTTTCATGTCATATTTTAATTTCAGCTGGTGTCATTTGCATTTTATAGCTTCATACTTGAATAAATTTCGTTAAAAATTTATTAACAGGCCTTGCTTCTATTTCTAGTACCCTCCAGAAACAAGTTAGGGAGCTGCAGCCTAAAAAGCCCATACGCAAATCTCGAAGCCAGATCTAATTTATAAGGTTGACTCCATCTCTACAGGAAATCAAAGCCAGGCACTCCGCAACTCTGGATGTAGAGCCAGTTTTTGAGCACCCAGATCCAGAGGCTTTAGATCCAGTTTTACCTCTCCATAACAGGCTGGATGGAAACACTGTGTTCAGGAAATGGTTAGTTTGTGTTCCTCTCCTGTAACACCAATTCCCAGAGCCCTCTCCCAGGATCTCAACTCACAGTTTTGGATGCTATGCAATACACTAAATATTACAGCTTTCTCTTCCAAAACACTTCAGGTTTATCATTGCCTTGCTGATCAGGAACAGCAGGAGACAATTCTGCGGACAAAATCAACTTTTGAACTGTAATTATTCATTACATTGCCAAATGAGGGCCAAATAAACAAGGTTCTTCTGCAGTTGGTTTTGGTTTTGTTTCAGTGGGGATTTTTTGTTTGGGTTTTTTGTTTGTTTGTTTGCTTTTTTAAAGAGAGAAAGAGAGTAAGAATGATTAGTACCACCCGGAGAAGAAATTAAAGACTAGGGATGGATCCCTATCTCACAGTACCTTACTAATGGAGTTTGGAGTCTGTGGTGTCTCATCTTTCAGTGCCGATGGGCTGTTTCCTTCCACATCTTTTCCTGCAACAAATAAAATTGATTCAGAAACAGAAAAATTTGGTCCAAAACAATGGCTACTATAGCCTTAGAAAAGCTACAGCGAACAGCAAGCAGGAGAAGCTGTCGTAGGCAGGACCAGGCACACCAGGATCACAGAGGAGGATCTTGCAGAGCTTGAAATAGCCTGGACCCACATGCTTGGGCTATGCAACAAGTACTGCTTAAAAGTCAGGTCTGAAAACACTGTGGTAAACCAACATGTTGGTTGCAAAGTCCAGTATATGAAGGCTGGAAAAAACAGAAATAAGGTTGCTTATGCATCCTTAATCAGCTCCCTCCTGTGACTGCATTACAATGCAGTCTTTAATTACATTACCACAGTCTGTTCTCTTCTTATATACCCCATGCCTCATTCAATGCAAATAATAAATGGAATTCAGTTAATAAGCAGCTATTCAATACATCATCCTTCTTGGTTGGTATCTGGCAACTACACACAGATCCACTTGATAAGATGCTTTGTTTGACAAATAATAACTGTGATCATAAAACGTTACAGAAGACAGAACAGCACCTAGACATAATTGGTAAAGCAAAATTTTTAAAAGTTCTTCATTAAAACAAGAAACATTTTACATTCACGAGTAGTATTTATGAACACTATGACATTTTCCAATTGTTATGGATATATATTTCCACTACCCAAATACACTAAACTTGCAGTGCATTATACACATTATGTACTAGCAGGAGTGCGTGTAGTCCTAGCCCAAGCAATGAAACATAATGATAAATTCTGTGCTTTCTGCCAATTGTAATCCTTAGAGTAAAAGAAAGCATAGCACTTCTATTACAAAAAAAGCCAAAGAAAATAACATGTTATGAGACTCGCTTTTTAGTCCCAAGACAGACATTGTTATCCAATTGCAATGTAGTTTTCTTCTCAAAATTGTTAGCAATCAAAGCTTCAGAATACTGGACACAGTAAAGAACCACCGAGACAGTGAAACATAATCCGCTCATAGCACACTGCAAACATGGGAACTGTTACAATTGTTTTTAAATACTGTACAGGCCAGTCTTGGAAACACCAAACACCAAATCCAGAACCAGCAAGGAAAAAATCCCGATTCTCCTGAAGTCAGCAGAAGTTGTCACAGATGTGTCAGAAGCCATAACGTCTGTTGGAGTTTTCAGAGCAGCCATTTAAGAAGCCAAGCACCATTAGAAAAGTCAGCCACAGAAGTTTACTAAAAAATATCCTTGTAGCCAGGTTTGGCACTTCCATCAAGGGACATGTGAGAGAACAAGCACATCCCATTATAACCCGAACTGCAACTGTGCCACAGGGTTTCACTGGTAAAGAGAAAACAAAACCAGACCCTTTTTACAGGCATTACCAGGCAGTTTGGTGTATCAGCTCCTAAATTTAAGGAAAGGCTTTGTGGGACAAGTGTCCCTAGAAGGTGTTCAACTTTCCAGATGGTGACTGAAGGTGGTGGGGGTTTCAGCCGTGTTTCTCACCCTGTGACAGTGCTGCGCTGTGCCCCCCACACACAGTGCGCTGACGCAGGAAGCAGACACTTCTGGGCCTGGGAGAAGAGGGACAGCCCATGCAGAGGAAGGATCTATGCAGTCACATGGGAAGGCAGAGCAACAACAGGGAACCTGTATCTTGACCCAGTTTCTTATCTGTCACTCCTCGCCTTGAAACACCAAGCCCTACATAATGCATCTGGAAACCTAATTTCCATAGGCAGGAGAAAATCCCAAGTGGCTGAGTACGTACAAGTCGCCTTGTGCTACTGTGACAAGTGGGATGGCCATAAGCACTGCTGTGCATGGGTCAGGACCTGTATCTCCATCCTTTTTCTTTCTCTGATGGTGCTTTCCTCTCTATAGCCCCTGCTCTCCCTGGCAGAGGCAGAGAAGGTTGCTATCAACTCACAAAGCCATGTACATGCTGCACTTCTTTCTCATGAAGAGTTTTTTCTGCACATGTATGGGAAAGTAACATATGGTCTGAAAGTTCATGTAAAGTCAATGGGAATCAGCTGCTGCCTGCTCCAAGGGAATGGCATCTATTTGCGTAAGAGAATTCACATCCATTCCTTATTATGTCTCATTTCTTAAAGAAAGCTTAACTCCAAGCTGGTATCCATACAAAAAGCCTGGATGTGAGAGATTCCTCCCTTCTCTCAGTAATACAGTTACAAGGGTTTGCACCTGAACAATGAGATTTTTGCTGTTCCTGAAGTTCTGGACTATCCTGCTCACAGGGTATTATGAAAACTGAGAACATTCAACTCTTCACTCTTACCATATAATGTATAAAATTTCATGAGATATGTCTATGGAGCAGCATATATTGGTTTCTTATACCAAACACGTTAAGCCCATTGACACTTGTGAGGGAAAGGCTGTTTTTCAGAGGAGAGCTATCTTTGCTGTCTGTCTCAAGTAGACTTGCTGCTGCCATGCAGAGGGTGAGAGCCAGCCCTTCTTTGGAAATAAAACTTCATTAAAACCATGTGCAAGTTTCTCAAAGACCCACACAAATAGTGAAGTGCACAGAAAGCCCCAAAGCGAGAGGTCCACCCAGAGCACAACAGACATAGCCATCTTGAGAAACGAAATAGGAAATCACATAAAAACATAAAATAAGCTAAATATTATTTGGTTATAGAAGCTGAAGTTCTTATCAACCTGATGAAGAAAACATAATGCCCACAACAGATACAGACCTCTCCTGACGTAAAGTGCTGGCTGCTAGCAGGGCATGCAAAGAAGGCTCCTCCACAAAGTAGCCCAAAGGTTTTGCACCAGTGAACAATATTTTGGGAAGAGACTCAATAGTGCTTATGGGAACATCCTTCACCACATCATGACGAAAGCTGTCAACACTCCAGCCTTGCAGTCACAGAACTGAATTACCGATACCTTCTTTTAACCCATTGTTGTCATACATAGGAAAAATAAATATTTAGTTCCTTTCCAGAACAGTAACTATTCATTTTCTTTTGCCTTTCCCCTTTACAGAGAATCATACAGAGCAAGCATGACCGATCGATGGTAACCGGAAGAAAAATAACTGGGTTATTGAGGAATGAATGATTAGCTCCACCCAGTATGAATTCCTATTTTACAGGCTTTCTGATAAAGTATCGGGATAGCTACAAGAGGAGATACAGGCTCTGGTGTGTGGCAACACTACTGCAAATAAAACCCATTACTGCTGTAAATATCAGTCACATGGCCCGATGTGTACACCAGACTTAAATTTACTTCCATGTATCTATTACAGTAAAACTCCCATATTCATGAAAGGGCACCTCTGTGGATGCAGACAGGCTAATCTAAATTTGTATCTAAAGCCAATATGTGATCTTGCAGCCTAGTCAAAAAGAGAGATTCTCTACGTTCTTTTAGCTACTCTTTCAACAAATTTCCTACCCTCTGAAAGAGAACAGAAAGAAAGATTGTCTTCCCTTATTGCTACACAAAAGACATGGACAAGGAACATGAATTCACATCTCTTGAGTTTGTGAACTTTCTATAAAGAAAAAATGTCTTCTCAAATTTTTTTAGTTACCATGATCATTAGCATTTTCGTATGCAAGCAAATGGCAAAAAGTCCAAAGTGCTATTTCAGAGAGTGCCCTCCACATTTGCCATATGTTTCCTTTAAAATAAAATTATTCTCACCAAACTGCATCTCCATTGCGTAGCTTGCCTGAGGTGTAAAGTCTGTCACTCCCTTCTCACTGAATTATTTACTTGCACACCTTCATTGCTGAGGGCTAATCCTAGGTGTTGGTGCCATGAGACCTGCAGCTCCGGCCACCCCACAACCCACCAAATTCCTGGCAAGAAACCACTGGGCTTTGGTGCCCACAGCACCCACCCAACACGATCAGTCCACTGCCCTTGTAAAGAAAATCTGCTGGGGTCAGGCAGCAAAACATGGACTACTGGAAAAGCCTCAAGAACCGAAAATTCATGTAAAACAAGAAAGAAAAAATGGGGGACAGAGAAATATTGGATGCAGCTTACAGACTTATCAATGGTGATGGCAGCATCCTTCAAAGGGAAGGGAGAAGGTGGGGGGAAGCACACAAGGCTCAGAGGAAAAGGAGGCAGAAGCAGCAGCAAAGGAGTGAAAGGAGAGCCCACCACAGGAAATGGCAACTGAACGTGAAGAGTAGCAGTTGCTTCTTATGGCAAATGGCAGCGCTGGGGGGACCAGGAAAGAAATGAAAGGAGTAAAAAAAAAGTAAGGATAGACAAAAACCCAGACTCTGCAAGAAATCTTCTGGCTTGAAGCAGTAACTTCTATTTGTTTAAAAGAGACATTCTCTCCTTTACAAACTCTCTGACCTATGCTCTCTTTTTGCACTACAGAGGGTGACTGCCCTCGCTGACGCCAGCGCTGGACGTTACTGAGGAGAACCACGCAGCACAACAAAAGGTCCAGCGTGGCTCAAGGCACTCGTTCTGCCGAGCCCAGCAAAGGCTGTTTGCTCCAGCTCCCAGCAGGCATCACGGAGAATCAAGGTGATGAGAGAAGCTGATGAAGAGACAAACTCTTCCAGCTACCTCCTCCACATTGAAACCCACAACTTTCCCTGGTTTCTGAAATATTACAGCACTGAAATACCTCTGTGAGGAAGTCAGTAACTTTTTTAGCACTGAAAATGCTGGTGAAAACCGAAGAATGGCCAAACCCTAAGCTATGGCTCTCTGTCTCTGTGAAGCAAGGAGAAGTGATTACAGCCTGAAAAATCAGCCCTTCAGCTCCCAAGGATAGCGGAAGTGTAACGGCTATTGACTTCCACACACATTTGTATGGACTGTACTTATGGGCAGCTAGCCATTCGGAAGTCCCTACAGGTTTAAAATGCATGAGATTTTAAATGTCCCATTTTAAGTTATTCTCAGTTTGATTACTGAAAGGTTGTTGAAGCTTCCAGCAACCTCAGTGACAGCCAGGATTAGTCAGTACTGCTGAAAATAGGCTCCCCATTACTTTGAAGCAGACATGAATAGAAATACCTGCGAAATCAGAAGCCCTTGAAACCTTTGCACTGCAAGACAATTAGCTCAGGAAATCCAGACCTGGTTTTGCTCTGCATCTGCAAAGCCCAGAGAGTCTGTTGGGTGTTACATCTATATGAACACTGAAACCTTTTGACAGATGCTATGTTCTTTCTCTAGATATCAGTGTTTTGAGAGCTCACAAAGGTGCTGTGAGGTTTGATTATTCAGCACTGACATGGCAGCTGCAAATGACAGCTCTACGAACTTGTGACTGTTCCCTGAAGCCCTTGTTTACAGACTGGAACGGAAGCATTGTTTGCAGGCTGCAATCAAGGAGACTTGAATGTTTATGGTGAGCAACAAATTCTGAAACAATAAAATGAGCTCTATTTCCTTCAAGAAAGATGCTAGGACATTCAAAGCAAAAAAAGATGTAAAGAGAACGCTTAAAGCCAGTTTGCCATTCACTGTAACCTGTCAAGATTCTGGGTGCTTGTAGATATTTACAGAACATTAACCACAGAAAGTCTGCTCTTGTAATATTTATCCTCAGCTCTAAATCTGAACAGGGAAACCTGCCATTAAACGTCTGCAAACAGGGCCAGTAAATCTTAAACATCAAGTGCCTCAAAGTGGAAGCGCCCAAAAACAGTAGACATTTTTGAAATGTGAGACCATGCAGTGTTGAAACAGTTATGAACCCCAACTCTGGTGCCCCTGTTCCCAGGTAACACCACGGCAATGAAAGACAATAGCATGAAGAAAGCAGCACTGTGTGGGGTTCAGTAATACCTGTGTTGCAACAGCCTTTATCTTTCACATTAACTTGTTTCTTTTTGTTTCCTAGCAGCCTACTGAAGTATCCAGTTGCAGTCAAGCACCTGAGACACATTACTTTTTGCACTGACACAGGAGAAACCAACCTGGGCTGAGTGGGTAGATGTCATTGTCGGTCCCGAAGAACAGATTGCGAGTCAGCTTGCGAGGATCGACCTTTTGAGGGGTGGACGAGGCCGGGCAGAGGGAGAACCTGCGACGAAGAAAGTTCTCCTCCTTCATGGCATGAGCTGTGGGGGTTTTCTGAAAAGGAAAGATAGAAATAACAGTTCATTTCGAGACATGGGAAATCAAAGTTTCATACCCAGATGACTCTCCTGCTTCAAAGCCGCCTAATCCTATGTAGTGTGCCAGACCTTTTTATAGAGTGCAGGAAGGCTATGCAGAAAAAAAACCCAAAAGCAGTATCAGGGTGAAGCTACAATTACTGATTTGCTGACTCTCAGTATTTGCAAACTGCAGGGATGCACGACGCTGCTCCTTGGTGAATCCAGGCAGAATAACACCCTCCTACCTACAAGGATCTGTCTAGGATAACAGCTGCTTACTGGGTCTATTCAGTGCACAGTGGCTAAAATTCTGTTTTTAATTTTTTTTCTTTCTTAGGTTCTGGAGTCTCTTTTATAAATGTAACTTCATTGGTGTCAGCAGTTACACCATCTCCACAAATATCACCATTTAATCCAAGCTGCATGGAGGAAGACCAGCTGCACTGGCTGCAGAGAGCGGCAAGCGGACGTAACGTCAGTGTCACTCCTGTGCTTATTTCCAATTACAGCACTATAAATACTTCTGTTTTGCTTTAAAATGGCATTTAGAACAGTCTTGTTTGATCAATAAGATAAACCTTGCTGCTCTGTGAAGGTAAAGAACAACATCTATCTCCCCAGCAGCCTCCCTGCATCCCTGTACAAATGCCTGGTGGTACTGTGCTCTTTACCACCACTTGGCTAAGGCATTAGACTATCCTGGCTGGAATTAAAGGTTTCTTTTATACCCATCCAACAAGCAGTTCTTTCTTAACCATTACAAACAGATATTATGACTGTCTCCTTCCTGAGCTACAAGCTTTATTCTCCCCCCATGTGCAGCCAGAGGCAGAGCCCTTGCTAGCAGTGACAAGTGTTAACCCAGCCTTTGGGTGGGCATTACAGCCCACAGGATCTGCTGCTTCTCTGATGGACAGTTCCTGCAGTAAGAAAAACCTTTTAGGATAGTTCACGTTTCCTGGAAAGAGCCTCCAAATTTTCTCATCTCTCCTAGGCTACTGTGAAAGCAAAGGGGAAAAAGTTGCTCACAGCTGCGGTGCAGCTGGGGAGGGCAGGACCAGCATGCACATAAGGTGACCTGCGTGACATTAAGTGGGAAGTGGGCTAATTATGGGCTAGAACATCCGACCTTGCCCTTCCTGCTCCCAGTACCACCCTGCTGCTTGTGCTGGCCCAAACACCCCCATTTAATGGAGAACACTCAGTGGCCTCTTGGAGCTCTGCCTTCACAGCTGAGTCACCGCACAAGAGGATGCGATGAACGTGTCCCACTCTGAGAAACTCCCTTCCTGTGTTTTATCTGAGCTCTGTCCCTCCACCTGTCCTGCTAATCCCTGTAGAAGGCAGTCCCAATGTTTCAAGTTTTGCAATCTTTGAAAAATTAATTTACACAGCAGGCTGTGTCAACTTTAGAAACCAGCTGTGATTTTCAAGGTGAGAGAGAATCTGCTCCTTCTTTCTCTCAAGAGATGGCCTCAGCGCTCAAGAAATTTAATCTGATCTAAATCAGTCTGGACTCCAACAACGAGCATGGGTTACCAAAACCACTTTGAGCAGCAAGTCTTTCTGAACCAAGCTCATAGTGTTGCGATGGATGAGCCAACAGATGTGAGGGTCTGTAACATCCAAAAAGGGGCTAATGGCTAGCAGCTGGAACTAGCCCAAAAGCGGGACTCCCCCAGGCCACACAGTTTCGATTTGAAGGGGGTGCATGTCCCCTGCTGGGCCCCATGTCCTCCACGGAGGATGAATTAATGTCTGTGCAGTGCTCTGAGAACACAATGTCCCCTAAAAGCCCTGCACGTTATCACGTTCCCTCCAGCAAAGTGGCTGTAAGACACTACTGATTCACAGCAGCATTTCACCATAACCACCTCATGCAACGCTCCATGAAAGGCTCTGTCTTTGAGCGGCAGGACACAGTGTGCAGGACAGGGCTGCCACGGACCGACCCTTCGCACAGCGCCTCGTGTGAGGCTGTGTCTCAGGCCAACGGCGTGCAATGACAGCCAGGTGAAACGAGGTGGCTGCAGCCCTTTCCACTCACTGCTCCTGTCAATTCAACTGCCCAGAAACCCCCTGCTGCAAACATATGTCCTGGCTCAAAAAGTCCCCAGGTTCCCATTGCAGCCAACCGCACCTCTGAAGCGGCAGGTAGCTTAGATACCTAACATTAAGCCATATAAATAACTTTTTTTTTTTGCATAGATACTCTTGACTGCATACAGCTGGGTGGAGAGATGATGTATAATTAAAGCTAACTTTAAAAAAAGAAAAGAGGGAGAGGAGGAAAATGCAGCTACTTATGTGCCTGAAAGCAAAATATTTAAAAATAATCCAGGTCTAAATAGCTGGGTTTGGAATGCTAACACCGAGCTATTTTCTGCCCTTGTTCCCAGAAAGGCCGTCTCAGCTCTCCACCTCTGGAACTCCTCGTAAGTGCCTTGGAGCAAAAGCAGACCCGTGGGATACTCTCCCCAACAAGCAGTGACTCAGTGAGGCTGAGCCAATCGTGCAGGAAGGTGTTCAGAAACACTGGGTCCATCCAGTGCAAAGCAGCCTGGGGAAGAAGTTACAAACATAAAGCATCTGTCCATCCAGCTCTTACGCCGTGCTCTAGTGCTGGAGACTCGTCGTGACAGGGTAACAAAAAGGCTGCATTCAGCACCATTTTGTCTCAGCAGTCCTGCAAGCCACATCAGTGGAGAGCTGCCAGCCAGCTCACACTGTGTCGGTGCAAAACGTCTCCAGACACTAGAGCAAGAGCAGGCTGTAGACTGGGTCACACATACCTGAATAGAACTTCTTTCAACTGCTGCTATATTTAATATGCAGAGAAACCAATGTTCTGATGCTTCCCTCACCTATTATTTCACACTATTCAACCACAGGGTAATTGACCAAATTATTGGGCTGATGCTCTCTTGTTACCACACTTACTTAAGCCACTGGCTTGATGGCAAGAATGGATGCTTTGTTTAACTGGGAACAGCCACTGGGCAATAACAAAGGAAAAGACTTTTCTCAAGTCCGTAACTTGCTCTGGCTCTTCTCTTACATATCTTAACACAAGCCTGCAGCAGCTCATCTCTTTTTGACCACAATCTGAGTAAGTTCCTCTTAACTGGGCCCTTTTTTGGCAGAAGGCCTCCAGTGCCCAAAGCTCCCTGAGAAGCAGCAGTGATGATGTGTCTGTCACACACAACCACAGCCACACAACACCCCATGCCACCAACATCCCAGCCTGCTTTTCAAAGATCATTCAACATCGCACTGCTCCAGCTCACAGGCACAGACCCTTCCTGCATCTGACCCTTATCCAGACAGGCTCTCATGCCACCCCCATGTTCATGGGCTTCACTCCAACTGGAAGCTGAAAGCAGTAGAGTCAGTGTGTTATATGGTGTGCATGCAGTCCAACTTACTTCTCCTTCATTTTGGGTAAACGAGAAGAATTGTTGGCCTGCAGTTCACTCCCTGAGATTGCACCATCTTACATTGCCATAACACTTCTTCAGAGAAAGGCTGAGATGGACAGACTTGGTCTACGAGATTTTAACTCATTATGCAGTGCAAAGTGCAGCACAAAATAATAGAAAATGATGTTTTTATATAATCTGGGGTTTTTTTTAATACATCAGACACTTTTTTCCTTGGTGGGAGAAAATGTATTAAGATTCACTCACTATTAAGATTCTATAATACACTTGAAATATTTGGCTTGGTTTCTCAAAGTTATCTCTGTATGCACCCACATCTGTATCTATCCTGTTTTGTTCTCCTTCCCTCCCTATGCCTTTTGTACCATCAGCAAAAGTCAAGGAAAACCAGCAGGTGTTAGAAAACTTGAAAATTTCAGCTTTTAAAAGTTATGTGAAAATCAATGGCTAAAGAAAGGAGGGAAACTATATTGTTGGGCTCTGAAAGGAGGTCAGTACTACGAACCCAGACATCACCAAATGTCAGGAAATCCAACATAAGCCACAAATTCCTAAGAAAGTGAGGCTTCATCAGCTCACTTACTCTGAGAGCTACTTGTTCTATCTGTCCGTAAGAGTCTGCCTGCTCAAGCTGGCTTCAAATGACGTAAAGCGTGAGGTTTGTCAGGGATGCTCAACAGTAGACACCAGGGGCAACTTTCCAAAGGGACGTAACAGAAAGGTGGGAAGCGTGTTCAGTGTTTTTCACAACAGGGCCCTTTCGACACCTAAATAACCCAGCCTCTGCTCATAATCACCTGCGTGACACAGAAGGGTGTGAAGGGTGCCAAGAATGTAGCCTTTTACTAAATCTACTTGTATATTCTCAATGCATGATTATCTAGAAAACATACAGAAATTCACTGATGATAAAGTATCTGGTAAGCAATAAGCAACCATAGAAGACACACTTCTAGACATGAGTGGCTTTGAGTCTCAAATCTCACTGCTCCTGCGCTCCTGTCAAATCTGGCAGATGAGACAGAAAATTGTCTAAGAAAGGCTCATGTCTTGATTTGAAGACATCAACTGACGCAGAACCCAGAAGCTCTCTCAGGTAGCTAACCTCATTGAGAAAAGTCTTCAGTGTAGCTCTTGCATTAATTTATCCGGTTGTTAGTCCTGGAAGATTAAAGCACTCTGAAGTTTGTAGCTCAGGTCATTTCTGGCCTTCTACTCTGTGCTCCTGATCATAATAATGAAGGAAACCTAATACAGAGGGTACTGACAGAGCCAATAAAACACAGTATTTTTCAGGATTGCTCCTTTTGCGTTGACAGCTCTCTAAGCAGTAATGCGTTATTAAACGTGGGCTGTTCACTGGAGCTTACATAGGAATAAATAATTGAGCAGCAAGAAATGAAGTTTTTGCTAACCCTGTCTTTGAGACCACTTTTTCTTTTAGAAACTAGAAATACAGCAGATGAAAAGTCTGTGTCAAACCCCATGAAACAATGGGACAACGAAAGTGGGGAACTTAGCAGGGTGAAATTAC